GGGGAAACCTACACAACATGAGGAGGACACGCCGATTCCAAACAGGAAAAGCGGGACCTGAACCCAAAACCTTGGAGATGTGAGGCAACAGCACTACCTACTGGGTCACTGTGCTTCAGCAGGCAGCGATAGCTTATTACAGGCCGCAAGGGCAGTACATCACTCGACCCAAAGACCTGTACATCACTCGACCCAAAGACCTGTACTGCAATAGCTCCTAAGACCAGTACATTAGGAGGTCCTTAGCCGTGTAGCACACTAAATCAGGCATGAGCGTATGGATATGTACACCCTCCTCGAAGCATAATCAACCCTGATCTTTCCCACTGAACTTCCCCTCCGCCCCACCTTGCAGTCTCGATGCCAGGAGGCCAGGACAAGGTTGCGCAGGGCGAGGTACATGGTGGGGTCGCGGGAGAACTCTGGGAACTCGTAGAGCTCGTCCAGCTCCATCATGTCTGGCCGCACGCAGAGCGCCTTGCCGCACTCGTTGGGCTGGTAGAAAGGCTGGAAATACGGACAGAGCCCTGGAACTGAACAGGGCACACGCCGGTCAGTGTGGCGGCGGCGTGGGCCGACAGCCAATCGCGTGGCGGACCTCCCCGGGCTTACCCTGCGTCTGTGGGGCCCGGAGCTGCTCGGCCTTCATCTCGCTCAGGGGGATGTTGCAGGGGGAGCCGGAGGGACTCATGCCCACGCAGTCGGGGTAGTAGGCGATGAGGAACGGGTCGGCAGGGCTGTCTTTCAGCAGCGGCGGCAGGATCAGCATGGAATGCCACCAGCTGTCGATCACTTCGGCTACCCGCTGGTGACACAGGGCCGGAATCAGGGTCAGCCACACTATCCACACCACCACATTTTCACATGCAAATGAACAATTAGATACAGACATTCTGTTAAAGGTACTTCACCCCAAAACTGAAAAAATACATGTTTCAGGGGGGCTTTAATGCTATCTATCCATCTAGGTCGTTCTGCTGGGAGTTGCCCAGTTTTGGAGATAACTGCCGTAGAAATGCCAGGTTTCTCTCTAATATAACGGGAGTGAATGGCATTTGTTCTTCGGTGATTAAAGTGGTAGAAAATTCATTAGAAAAATTAAACAGCGATGTCTCTCAGCAGAAATCATGACCCGGTTATTCATAATAATTCACAGACTTTAACATAGGAACTATTTTCTTCTGCCGAACTCCACACCCCAATCGTATCACTGCGCGATATCTTCTGCACAGTGATACGCATTTTCGGGGTGAACTGCCCCTTTAAGAAATTCTAAGAGTAAGTGCCAGGTTCATTTGGTCACTGATGTGGATTCTGACTTCAATTCAATCACAGTTTTGACTCAAGAGTAAAGAAGATGTTGCTTTTGTTCCCACCATGTCTTCTGGCTGGGAGCACTGGTCGGGACCCTCGTTCTAAGAATTGAGAATAAAGAAGACGGTTAGGAAGAACGCGGCCGGACCAGCGTCCTCCAAGCCCTGCTGCTCATCCTCACTATCTCACCTTAACATTGTTGAATTTCATCCCACAGCGGTAGGTCATAGCAAGCGAGGGGGTCAGCTGGATCTCCTTGGTCAGCTGTCGCCACTTTCCACAGTCTGGTTTAGTGCACTGGACCTGGTGGGACGGACGTTGTACACAGTGCATCAAGAACATAGCACTGCAGATGCTACAATGAGTCACTATCGCTGCTGGCATGTGGGATCTCCTTCAGAGGGTCCTCCTCTGTTCGGCCCAAGAAACGACATACGACACAGAATGGGGATGTCTGTCCTCACCCAGTACGGCAGCTGCTGGTCGGCCATGAAGGCTCTCAGACTGGGCTCACTCTTCCCATTGCCCGTCCACACCCTCTTCCAGCTGGCATACTTCTCGTAACCATCTTTATGACTGTTTGTGGCAAGATGAGGAAAAACCCATTTAGCAGTACGGAACGCAGACTAGCTAGGCTCTGGAATGTAACGTGCGCGCTCTGAATGGGCTGATAGTAACAGGAGTAATGGTGGATCCGGATGCTTTGTCCTACATTAAATGATAAGCAGCACAACTTCCCAAGAGGTTCTCACAGTGCTTTTTTATTTCAGTCTGTCACTCGCTCCTACCTTCTGTAATAGTAATCAAAGCACTCATTACAGAAATGCTCTCCGCAGGACAGGTGGTACCATCGCGATGTGTAGCCATTCTTCGCACACCTGGAACGGTTGAAAAGGGACAAGATGAGATGTCAGCGTGGACTGCGCCCTCCCCGTGACGGGCGGACTCCCTGGATTGGCCGACAGCGGGCACAGACCTCTCGGAGGTGCTGGCGAAGCACACTGGGTACGTGGCCGAGCAGCCTGACTTTTCACATCTCCTGTGCTTCTTCTCCGACTGGTCCTCCTCCTCCTCTGTGTCTGCTGCTCTCCTTCGGCTCTGAGGGGAAAAGGCAGCATCCACAGTGACCCCAATTGCGGCGTATTTGCTGAAAGTTGGACACGGAGCTGCCGGTTCTCGGCAGTTTAACTGCCATGCGCTTTGCACGTTCTCCCTTTGCATTTCAGATTGGGGAAAAAAATAGGATTTTTTTTTGTCCAAGAATTTAATTGTTCTCTTAAGAGACTAAAAAAAACTCTACCAAATATGCTATTATGGCTGCCTTTGTTCCAAACGAAAAACCACTCATAACACATCAATCCATGTTCTGAAATTGCTCCTACTATTTAGGGTCACGGGAGGTCTGGAGCTCACCCTGGAGGCTCTGGGGGCAAGACAGGGAACCACCCATGATGGGGCGCCAGCCCACCTCAGGGCACACTAACACACTAACACCTACCAGCCAATCGACCTCAACACCTTTTTGGACTGTGGGGGAAAACTGGAATACATACCCAGTGGAAACATGCAAACTCCACACACATGGAGCCATGGTGGAGACTCAATCCCAGGTCCCAGTGGTGTGAGACGACAGTGCTAACCACTGCACCACCCATACTATTACATTTATTACTTTATTCCCAAATAAAATCTTTTCCATATGCAGTTATTGTTTCATAACTACAGCTTCTACGTTTTTAATTATTGCATAGCTAAGACTGCGGAGTATGTGTCTGAGTCACATACTCGGGTGAGTACTGTGTTCTCTGTGTCCTCTTCACGGCTTTTTCATAAAAAGTATGTTTGGCTCCCCCGTTCTACCGGAGTTCTACATAAGAAGCATCCGCACATCCTGCTTTGCACCTACTTGTCCTGCAGGGCTGTTGCTGCAGCGCTTCAGTCTGACGTTGACCTGTCTTCCAGAGGAACGCAGGTTCTGGTTCTCTCCCGCGGCCGCATCCATGACCGCCTGCGCTCTCTCCTCCACGTCTGGCCGTACACCAGGGACGCCGCCAAGGTCTGGAGAGTGGCAAATAGAGGATTACTGTGGGATTCAGAAAGATGAATCCCCCCCGTGTGGGTTTCCTTCAGGTACTCTGGACTCTGCAGTTGGGTGAACTGGGCTCTTTAAAGTACCCATAATGTGTGTCAAATGTTCCCACAATGTGATAAAAACCTGTTATTTTGACTTTGTGAGAACCAAACTCAATTTTATATATTAAAAAAATCTGTTGTTTGGTTACTTATGAAGGACTCTCCAGAGTCCTCACAAAGGTATAGATACTTAATCTGTGTGTGTGTGTGTGCCTATGATTCACTATATTTTAAATAGACGATGTGTATACCACATTAAGATAATAATGCCTCAGCTAGCAAGTCTCAATCGCTTGGAAGTCTTCTGATCTTTGCGCCCAACAGTACATATTATAAAACACATTGCAGTTAATTAAAACAGCCTATCTACCTATTTCTGCATATGAATTGAACAATCATTATTTGTAAATACAGAGGTAGCGCTCGTAACGACGACATCAAAGATGCTGTATAACCACATTACCGCTGGTTAACATGCAGAAGAGTACAAAAATGTAAATACACCCTCTCAACATAGTAATCTAATTTGGTTGGCATTTCTAATACTAACAGATTGAACTAGATGAATTACGGTGTTACCGCTGCTACGATGAGACAGTGTTTACAGTTTCTATGACGTACATCGCTGGACGAACTGTCAGTCCTGCATGATCCCCTCTTCGCACAGTTGGGTAAATCTCATATGGACAGAGAACTGCCTCCCTTTGTTGTCTTAGAGTAACCCGGTGGGGCCTCACTCAGCATTATGGTGACACACCACAGATCAGCGACGGCGCACGTCGAGCAAGGGCCAACGCGCATGCGCGGCCGCCTCTCACTGACGGTGCCTTCACATTAGAACAAGATATTTCAGTTAGTTTAGGGTTTCACGTTCAATTAGAAAGTACCGTAGATTTAAACTGTAGTTTTGCGCATTTCTAGTCTGACGTTGAAAAACGTCAGCAATGTAAACCCACTGCATGACACTCGGTTCATTTAACTAAAAGTACCAGCATTCCCCGCGCCGCAGATCAAGAAAATGTTGTTCCGGACTGTATATGGGACGCGCCGGCTGTCACCTCATACTTAGGGATTGTAGAGACAAATAATTAGGATACAATAAAACTAATATTGTTTAATTATATTTTTGCTGTATTAGCCACACCTTTAATCTAATTTTCGGAATTACCTACAAATATAGAATTTTATTATGGTGATGGAACATTATTCTATATTGATATATCAACACCGTGGTTTTATACTTTTAAATCAATGAGGAATTTAATTGAAAGATGTTTTTCACACTGTAATATATATATATATATATAGGCAAATGATATCTGTATAATAAATATATAGCGTGCTGTTCAGTTTCAATGAATGAAAGAGAGACACAAACATCTATAGTGAAGAACGAACGCGTTATATGGTAGCACACGGACGCCTTTCAACGGTACACAGGCTGGCTGGAAAGAAAAATTACAAAGACATTTTATAAAAAGAAGACCCAGAATCTTTTAAAGTTATTTCCTTATTTGGACATGCCCACTCAGTGAGCATCATTGTTCAGCCACTTTTGTAATTAAGTTTTCAAAGCATCTTCAAAACGTTATTCTCCGACAGGGCATTTACTTTTGTGTTTATCGCAACAGTAACGAAACGACAATTGGCTCACGCGAAGTGTCTCATGACATCTATAGTGAAATAGGCTACATATAAGCTAAAATTTAATGATGACACCTTCACTGAGGAAATCTTCTCCGTCTCGATTACATAAGAATTAACTGATATTGGTGTACTTACAAACTCTTACAAGCAAATATGTATAACAGCCAACTACCAGACGAGTCATGGGTCTTGAATTGTTTAGGTCTTAGCTTATCGTCAGAGGAGGAAACCAGTTTGTTAATTTCCTTAACAGACTTGTACAATTATTTTTATGTATAGCAGTCAGAGAGAAAGCAAAATTTTTATCTTTTAATTTCAAATTTATGCTGCATTTATAGTATTTTGTATTTTTTTTATTATCGTTTTACAAAATTTTGCATTTTGGATCTTCCAACCTAGCAAGCTACATGGATCTCCTGTAAGACTCGGTTTCAGAAACCGGTAAGGAAATCGACTTTTTTATAGCTCATGTTGAAAGAAATACACATCGCTCTTTAACTGCAGTATATTTTTTTCCTGCACAAGCTAGGTGAACCTGTCATCTGACTCAGCTGATGAGGACTGAAGCTGCCTTGCGTTCTCTCTCTTGCTGTCCATTTGTATGTGGTTTCAACATTATTAGTTTTATACGAAGAATTTCTATGGAAGGGAGCTTGCTAATTCCATAATCAACCAACAGTGACAACTGATGATGAGTATTACATATAGTTTGACATTATTTAATTGAGTACGACTGCTTTAAAGAGCAGGATATGCGTAATGTTTGTGATAACAATAAGTTGCACATGCTGCATTTTTGAAGGTTATCGAGATCGTAGCCGACAAGAAAAGTAATTAACACTTTTAACTGTCTAGGTTATATTTGGTGACTGAGTCTTCCTTTTTATAGCCGTTGGTGTGCAGTACTTTGAAGAATGTTAGGATGACTTTTGGATATGAGGGCATTTAAATGTAGGGTTTGTTTAACTACATCAGCAGGATAAGCACAAGGCTGTCTGAGCAATCTTTTCGTTTAATATGCACGATAAGAGAGAAGACGTTTTAAAAAAATCATAATCATCGTTTCCTGCTTCAGTTTTGTTCAATATGCCAGCTATATGATGGCACATCTGTGCAGAACAAAATTTTTGTCGGCTATAAAATTGATAAAAAACTGTACGGGATTTTATCGTGATCGTACGACCAGATTACCTCTGGTGTTTTAAAGATGCGGATCTATATGTTCATTGATGTTGCTAAATGTAACCTGCACCAGCCGGATGTATGAAAAACACGAAGGCCATATCCTATACTTGTTATTGCATTTATCCGTGCTTTTACATCCTATTGTATAGTGCTCGTGGCATTATATTCCACCACTTCTTCTGTCAGAGGATAGTTCATTATCATATTTTTCAGATGGTCCATAGAGACAGATGTGACAGATGTGCAATCCCCGTCCTCCACCGCTTGTCCGACTGATCTCCCCGTCTCCTGCGTGTTGTCAGGGGGAGATGACGGAGCTCAGACACAGGAGAGAGGCGACATGCGGCGAATCAGACGACATCCTGAGCAAGGCGTCCGCGGAGCTTGGCTCTTCCCCTGTTCCGCTACCTGAAGACAAAGGTATGCACGGTTTTGCACAAACATCTGGAACTGATTGTTCCTCCACAGAGAAAAAGAATAACAGTAACAACAATAATAATGCTGAAAATAAATGTGAGTTTCCTGCGATGGACTGAGGTCCTTTTAAATGTTTTTCTCCAAAATTACCATGCTGCTTGATAGACTGCATAAGGAGAATTGTTTTCTGAGACTTTAGGTCGAGTTCATCAAGCTGTTGCACCAGTGTGTATGTTAGTAATAACTTTGCATTTCCATTTAAAGTGAAATTAACACTATGCTGAAAGTTTTTTCTCCTTAATGGAAAAAAGTTGCTTTTTAAAAAAAGAAGAAAAAACAAAACACAAGCTGTTTTTTTCTGTCAGCTGCAGTGTACAGTAGTTTGCGGGATCAGTGTTAGCAGGAATGTGTGCTACCGAGGCCCGTAACAGAGAGAGCCCTTTTCAGCAGAAGGCTTGGCCTCCGAGGAGCTGCAGCAGCCAGGCTCCGTTGACGGATGCCCAGCAAGCACTTCGGGGGCATGGGAGCAGATGGAGGAGGAGACGGAGGCGAAAGAGGAGAGCAATAAGAAGGGGGACGAGGAAGCAGAGCATTCAGAGCCCTGTGACGTCAAAAGACCAAGGAACTTTGGCAAATGTCAGCATGTTTTCTTACTGTCTTAGATTCTGAAAGTCTGGGTGGAAGGGCAGGTGTTGTGTGCAGGTGTCTGGCTGTTGCTGTAGATAAGGGATGATGGAGTAGCAGTGAGCCCCCTCCCCCGTCTGGTGCCCCTGGCTGTGAGGTGCAGTGCGGTGGGGTGACATAGTGCCTGTGAGTCTCGTCCCTTCACCCGGCTCCTCTCTGCAGCTGTTTTAGTCCAGCGCCTGGTGAAGCTCCTCTTTGGCTGCCTGGCAGCTGTGACCTGTGGCATGATGTATGCCGTCTATCTCTCCATCTACCATGAGAAGAAGTTCTGGTTCTCGAGCAGACAGGTATGGAGTCTTCATCTTCACGGAGGGCATGTAGGGAACTCACTCGCTTACCCTCAGAGGAATCGGCCTCATATTCTCTCTGCTGTCATTTCCACGCTGTGAATTTCTGTTATGGCAGGAGCTGGAACGGGAAATTACCTTCCAGGGTGGCAATGGACTCTACTATTACTACTATAAGCACATGCTGAAAGCGCCCTCATTCGAGAAAGGTAACTGGCCCCTCCCCCGATGACATCATCACTGTGAGACCCGATTGGGCAAGGTGGTGTGGACTATCGCTGTTGTTTGAAGCATTGCACTAAAATGAGCTTGACAGTCTGTGCTGCCTGCCTGATCGTTTCTGTGCCCCACCCTACGGAAGGAATATATGAGTTGACACGGGACAACAGGACCGTTTCGGCCCTGACTATCAACGCAGTGGAGCAGCTGTTCCTGTACCCTGAGCTTGTCACCAGCTTCCTCTACAGAGTCACCGGCAGTCAGGTGAGTCGCAATATGGCTGCTCATATAGCCTCCTTTCTTAAGATTTTGTGCCCATGCAAAATTAACGCCATTTTTTCCCCCTCCTGACTCTTAAGTGAAATCGGTATTAATCATGTTAACTACAGTATTAAGACATTGCAAAACAGCGTGCTGTTAAATTTAGCATTTTGATTGTTCGGGTGAAAATTCATGCAGGTTTAACTGTGGGCCTCTGTCTGATCATTCAGGGGTATATTTGTCGACATGTTTATTTTCCCTAATTCAACAGGTCCCTGGGTCAACAAGGAAAGGGATTTCGTTTCACATCTTTAACAGATCATGGTCTTCATTGTATGACATCATCACATTGGGCTGTTTTTTTCTCATTTTCAAACTAAAGGCTTCCAACCACTGAGCCGGGGATGTGTGGCTCAGCGGGCTAAGCCTCTGAGCCTGTGATTGGCCAGTTTGAGTCTTGTTGTTGTAATATGTTGTTGTTATTGTTATTATTATTATTATTATTATTATTATTATTATTATTATTACATTGCTCTGTATAGCCTTTCTAGGTAAGCATGCTTCTATGTTTTGTATCTATGTTACATCCATTAACAGAGGGCATACGCAATAAAATAGGTACTTTACAAATCTATGCACCTTGCCGCTTAACAAAAAATGCTGGTTTTAATTAATCTGGTGATGTTGTACAATAAAGGCTGTGATTGGTTAAACACAAGCCCCTCCTTTTTGACCCAGGGATGCATTGAACTTGGGAAAATCAGGGCGTGCTTGAATCTGCTGGTTTTTATGGTATGGAACAATATTCTGTGGTCTGATTGGCTAGGACACCCACTATGACACAGGGATTCTTTAAACAAGCCGTCTGTGGTTGTGGGGATTGATTAGATGTCCTTGTAATGAGGCATCATGGTGGCAAACATGTTTCTCGTTGTGCAGGATGTGATCGAGCCAGTGTACTTCTACATCGGGGTGGTGTTCGGCCTGCAGGCCATCTACGTCACGGCGCTCTTTGTCTCTAGCTGGGTGATGAGTGGCACCTGGGTGGCGGGCATGTTGGCCGTGGCGTGGTACATCATCAACAGGTGAGCCATGGAGTGTCTGACCCGTCTCTCTGTACTAGAATCCCCCCCAGCTCCTGTCCCAGATGGTAGCTCCCATTGTTATTTTGCACCCCCTCTCCAGGCCGGACACGACGAAAGTGGATTACGCCATTCCACTGAGGGACAACTGGGCCCTGCCTTATTTCTCCTGCCAAGTCGCTGCCTTAACTGGTTTCCTTAGAAACAACATCCACTCCTCCATGGAGGTGAGCAGTACCTTATGGGAACAGCACTGACCTCCTTATGGGAACAGCACTGACCTCCTTATGGGAACATTGCTTTATAGATTTACTGACCTCATGCATAGCTGCAACATTCCAGCAACAACAAAGATTCAAGTAGACAAGAAGATGTATGTATCCAGGACCAGCGCATCTCTGAGAGCTTCTGCTGAGAATTGTACTGCTGACCCCTTCCATGTCGCAGGGATTAGGCACACAGACCCCCCCGCGATCTGGAAATACTGCATACATTTTTTTTGTCCCCTTTAGGGCAAAGATCACTGACAGATCACAGTGAGAGGCTGCCATGAACCTGCTTGGCCTCCTGCAGACCAGCATATGTTATGCATTTAGGGGTCACTAAACTTTTTGTGCGTCTCTTGATGTGTCATTTAAGGCTTTCGCAAAACTCCCAAAAACTCCCATTTAATTTCTTATGCAGAAGGGGTCGACTGTATGTGATCCTCCTGTGTGAGGGATCGCAGACATTTCTCACTCCTCTCCTGTGTTTTGCAGATGTTCTGCTACCTTCTCATGAGTGCTTCCACCTTCACCTTCATCCTGATCTGGGAGCACGGGCACTACGTGGTGTTCGTCCAGGGCCTGGCGCTCTTCTTGCTCGACTGCTTCGACCTTGTGCAGCCCCGCAAGGTAGCATATGCCATTATTAAAAAAAGAAAACACAATAGCCAGCTAGGGTTTAAATTATTTATTGAATTCTCAAAGGACATTGTGTCCTCAACACAACATATCCTGGTAATTAGATCCTCTCATTTTAATAAAGAAAACATATCACTATTGTAAATAAATATCAGTGTCGTAGGGCTGGGCAATTAATCAAAACTGACATTCAGACCTCTAATCGATGTAATCTTGCCCATGTAGGTTACTTCGTTTTATTTTTTAAATTCTGTTAATACTTCAAAAAAAAAATCCCCAGTGTGTGGTCATATATACTGTCCCCTTGAAATACTGTCACGCGTGTTGTCACGTGACTCCGCCTCGTCCAGTCTGCAACATGGAAGCAGCATGGAGGCGAACTCAAACACCAAGTGGCTTTAGTGAAGACGACACTGAACAAAAATAGGTCAAATGTAAACACTGCAAAAAAACTGTTTGAGATACCAAAGGTAATAGCACCACTTGGTTTAAACACTAGCAATATGTAAAATACAGTGGAAACCAATTATAGTGATCATGCATGGTCAAGCACTGAAATCGAGCGCTTATATGGATCAAAAAGCTAAAGTGGGACAGTGCCTATAGTAATCATGTAGTCTGCTTACAGTGTTCATCTTGGGTTTTTTATACGTAACATATGGTAGAAAATTAAAAAATAGGGTAATTCTTTTTGTTACTTGTCTACTTTGCTTTGTAGTAACCTGCCTGCTTCTGGCTAGCTACCTGAGGCTGATGCACAGAAAACACGATGGGAAAAGAAAGTCATTTTCTCTCAATTACAAATATAGACTCACCAAAGTGTATGATAAACTGCTAAAAACGAGCCAACCAGGTGCAGTAGCGAAATTACAATAAGCTATATTTTATGTACAGTACTGTACTTTATTGTGGCGTATTTGAATTATACACAGTTCAGTAAATTACTTTGTTCTTCCTCGCATGTGAGTACGTGTGAGTAATCATTCATCCTCGCGTGTGAGTACGTGTGAGTAATCATTCATCCTCGCGTGTGAGTAATCATTCATCCTCGCGTGTGAGTACGTGTGAGTAATCATTCCTCCTTGCGTGTGAGTACGTGTGAGTAATCATTCATCCTCGCGTGTGAGTACGCGTGAGTAATCATTCATCCTCGCGTGTGAGTACGTGTGAGTAATCATTCCTCCTGAGCTCTTGTCTAAGCACTCAATGTCCCTCCCCCCGGCAGATGGCGGACATCCATAAGGTGTATCTGTGCTCGCTGCTGCTGGCCTACCCACTGCAGTTCCAGAACCCCAGCCTGCTCAGCTGCCCCCTCCTCTGCCTCCTGGTTGGCTCAGCGCTTGCCAGGTACTTGCAGGTAGAGTTAGCGCCCAGAACCTCAGACTTTCAGCGGGGGGGGCGGCGATAACCCTGGGACCGCAGGACCCGACACTGCCAATGTCTCCTTTCGCAGCACAACTTGAAAGTGGGCCCCCCGCTGGCCAGACTTATGAAGATACTATTGCACTTCTACCTGGTTTTCACTATCGGAATCACTTTCAGCTATCTGGTCAAGGTGAGCATTGCCTGTGCAGTTTACGATGTTTAGTTTGTGATGACGTCCATGTTTTTTGCTCAGATCTGAAGCGTAAATAACTGAAATGAGGTAAATATGCACATTTAAAACAGCCTTATGACCGTAGGATGGTTTCTGTGCTCTCAGTGATCTGGGCTGTGAACTAGTTTTTGTTTAAAACCATGTTTATGTTACAAAGTACTGATGTCAGCATCAAAGTTTTAATAAAGGAAAAAATGAACTGCATGAGTAATGGGCTAAAATCAGTGCTCCCTAGCAAGAATGTTCATCTGAATCGTCTTTGCAGAAAATCATCCCCGTCCGTGAAAGTGACCATATACTCAAATTTCTTGAGGCGAAATTTGGGCTCAACTCCACAACGTAAGTCCAGATCCGAGTGACTGTTTTAAAGAACCTGCCGGTGTTTGGCTGAGTATCTGTAAATGTGAATGCGTCACCTGCATTGCCACCTGACTCCCCCCCCGCCGTGATCCAGGGACTTTGTGACAAACCTGCTGCTGTGTCAGGATGACCTCCAGAGCCCCGGCCAGGACTTCTTCCTTCGGCTGACGCAGGCGTCTGTGCTGCCCTTCTACCTGCTCGTCCTGCTGGTGTGCCTCCTGTCCGCCCTGCAGGCCATCTACTGCCGCCTCAGGTACGCCGCCCACCCTCCCCCGCGTGAAGGGCGCTGCCTCCTCCGTCCTGCGGCACTGACACATCCTGTGTCCCCTGAGTAGCGGCCAGCCACTGAAGAGCTCCCCCCGCCTGGAGGACGGCCTGATTGGGCAGCAGCCGGAGGTCGTCTACCATGTGTTCCACACCCTGCTCTTCGGGGGCCTGGCCATGCTGTTTGTGGGGTGAGTCCTCTGAGGCAGATCACACCAGAACACCTGTAAAACGCTTGCTGTTTAAAATGTGTCCTTTTGTTTCAGTCTAATTATAGTTGTATTTAATTTTCAATTCAACCGATGCTTTGGTGAAATTAACTGTATCTTAAACTTGTACAAACTTGGGCCAGTCTGTGCCTCAGTGGGCTAAGCCTCTGTGTCTGCAGGTTGCAGGTTCGAGCCCACCCTCAGCACGACAGGTTCTTGAGCGAGGCCCTTAACCCCCAGCTCCCTGGGCGCTGCTATGGGTGGCTGCCCTTCATGGCCAGCTTGCTCTCACTTACAGAGAGCAAGTTGGGGGAGGCGTAAAGAGAATTTCCCCATGGGGATCAATAAAGTATCTAATATTATTATATTTGGATGTTTTACTGGAGCAGTGCAGATCCTATAGCAGGGCCTGAAATGGAGGTTATGTTTGTCCTTAACCACAGCGCCCCCTACTGTCTTGATAAGGAATCTTATGACTGTGGGTTTGTATGTGGCCTTATGATCCATGTCACTATATATAGGGTATGAATTGATGTCACTTTCTTGCTGGAACACACACCCCCCTCAGACAGACTGAGGGGCAAAACATGTTGCAACATGGCTTTTTAGGCGGGGAAACTGCGAAACAAGCAATTATCTGCTTGAATGAAAAATCAGGAATTGGCCAAGAATCAGGTTTCCTGACAATATGTTTTGAACAAACTTTCACAGCTACGGATAATAGTCTAAACTTGCTTTGTGGAACAGTTCCTGTTGCAGCCAATGTAATATCTACCATTACTGAGAACTGCCTGTAACAATTTTTTCCCATCTTAATGTAATGAAAGGCGATAGTGTAATAAATGGCCAATAATAGGTTTTTGACTCAGAAATGTTTATTACTTTATTGGTAAGTTATTACATTATCAGCCTTTATTACATTAAGAACTAAAATATTTTGTTACAGCCCTTATAAGGAAAACTGGGTTTGCCTCACAGGAACATTGCCCACTTTGTTTGTAGAACACAAGGCTCATCACCATGGATGTTTTTAAATAAATGCTCTACAGTTACACAGAATATAAATAAATGATGCTGAATATTTAATCGACGAGTAGTCAAGACAGTATATAACTTAAGGTAAAGTCCAGCCTAATGGACACAAAATGACAACTGCAAATCCATGTTTCGGAGCCTGAACTCCAGTTGTTGCTGCACATTTCAGCCATTTGCTTCTTTTGTTTAGTTCTCGGCAGTCTGTAAAGAAACATGGCTCTGATTTTGTGTTAAATCTATTTGTACAATCAATCGCATAATAGCTCTTTCCCATTTTAGATGTTTTTTTTTGTGGCATTCAAGCTGAACACTAACAATGCCACCCATTGCTCACTTTTCCCATGCCTCCCCCCCCCCACCCCCGCTCCCCCCAGGATGAAATACCTCTGGACTCCCTATGTCTGCATGTTCACAGCGTTTGGCGTCTGCTCCCCAGAGCTCTGGGTCACAGTGTTCAAGTGGCTCAGGCTGAAGTCGGTCCATCCTGTGGTGCTGGTGAGACCCAGTCCCAACTTGCCTTGGATATTACACAAGCTGTAGTTCTGTTACTCTGTTACAGATACACGGAAGTTCTGTTACTCTGTTACAGACACGCTGTAGTTCTGTTACTCTGTTACAGACACGCTGTAGTTCTGTTACTCTGTTACAGATACATTGTAGTTCTGTTACTCTGTTACAGACGCGTGGCAGTTCTGTTACTATCTGGTTTTGGCATGGCACTGAAATCAATTTTTTTTTTTGTATTTTATGTATTCCACATTTGAGGGTCCAGAAACGTTTTCTTTTTTTTGTGTGTGTAGACAAGAATTAAGAATAAATTGTTAAATATCTAGATGTAATAAGTTTTCAGCCTCATTCATTCATGATTTTTACAGTTTTTTTAAAAATAATTTTTCAGTAATCATCAGTTCCATAGATGGTCTTTTAATAGTCACAGGTGTTTACAGTACATTTGAGGGCAGACACCCTTTCCATTCAGGCCTGACACAGCGGAGGCCTGTCATTAATGTGACTCTTTCCTTCTCCCATCATCCCACAGGCTCTCATACTCAGCACAGCTGTTCCCACCATCATCGGGTTCAGCTTGTGGAGAGAGGTGAGTGCACGAGGGCGCCGCCCACAGGCCAGACGTTTCACATGACTGCCGCAGCGTCACTGACGCCATGCAAACGTCCTTGTGTCTCCTCCACTCAGTACTTCCCCCGGCTGATCACGGAGTTATCCGAGCTGCAGGAATTCTACGACCCGGACACGGTGGAGCTGATGAACTGGATCAAGTGAGGAAGCGTCTTTCCCTCCGCTCTGAGTGTCCCCTCATCTTTCCGTAGTACAGTACTTATCGGTTAAAGGTTAAGTTTGGAGATTCTACACCTATCAGTGCCGGCGGTGGAGGGAGCTGGGGGGGGTTGCTAAGTGGCAGATTAGCAGAATTTACAACTTCCATTTTCCAAGCTTATTCATTCTGGCATGTTAAGAGGGCTTAATTCTTAAATTATTTTGTTCATTTTCGCAGTATTATGGAATTATCTGTCTAAATACTACAGTGTACTGTCCCATGAAAGAGTATGTTTTCATTATGTCTGCCTTGTGCGCCCCCTGCAGGACACAGGCCCCTATGGCAGCCGTGTTTGCGGGCAGCCCCCAGCTCCTGGGCTCAGTGAAGCTCTGCTCCGGATGCAGTGTGACCAGCCTGCCCCTCTACACTGACAGTACCCTCCTCAGGAGGAGTGAGAGCGTGAGTCACACTGCATGTTCTCCAGGCCGAGGCCCCGGCGCCAGGGAAGTGCACTGGGCTCTGTTTGCTTTGTCAGGAAGCGTCTCGACGCTGATCCTGTTCATCAGCATGATTTTAATACTGCCGTGAAAACGATTTCTGAACATCAGTTTAAACATGGGTTACTGAAATTGCTTTTCAAATTTGGTACTGCTAATATACTCACCCCGTTGCACACAGCCTGATTTTGTTAAGGGGCTGACTGACACCCGTGAGTTTGGCCCAGTGCTGTTATGAATGAATGATAAGCATGTGCAAAGTCTGTTCCTGCATCTCAGTTTAAAGCCACAACTAACCGCAACTGTGTGAAGTGTAAACTTTCACTGAATATCTCTATACCTCTTCCCTGAACACTAAGAAGTGTTTCCAGACAAATTGAACTATTTACACCTCTCGTAAACCCACTGGTTTCGCCTCACCCCGTGTCCAGCTCATCGCCACACTCAAAGCCAGCCGGCGTCACCGTCAGGTCCAGATATTTAGCCTGCTAGTTATCTGACGGGTGTCTGCGACACTTCGATCACTCTTTCTGGTCACATCTTTGAACCAAGAGCAACCGAATACCGATTTCTCAGCCCTAATCGAACACCAATTTGTCTCTGATCTGGAGCTTTTGTTGGTTATCACTAAATATTTTCAGCAAGCGGAAAATCAGGGCTAAAATTATGTAGTGAGGTAGCATGTTGGATACGCTTCCTGAAAAATATCCAAGTTCGGTATAACAGAGCAGACAGACGTTTTTAGTCTTATCAACTACTCTCTCTCTCTCTCTGGTGTTGGCATAATTTATTGGGAAGCCAAAATATTCCCAGACTACTGATTTTTGTGGTGTAGGAGGGTCTTTAAGCTCTCCAGCACTAGCTATTGCCAACTCACAGCCACAATTAGCGGAATGTTTTCCGTGTTGAACAACGACTTGCGAATTTAGATTTCACCCGTGTCAAGAGTTTTTATTGTCGTTTAATTACATGTTCCAAACTGAAAATGTTGACGAATACATGTAGTATTACAGCTCTTGCCTTTACTTTAAATGTAGGCCTGAAATGCTCTACAGCAAAATCTGTTGAAAAATTGTGGCATTTCGAATCTGCAAACCTATGCCAATATCAGGAGGTGACTGCCGATTCTCACTCCTGTTAGCTATTGTAAATTAGCCATCACCCTGCACATTTAACAGACCAGGTACAAAAGAGGTGATTCGCTGTGCTTCTGGTGTTCCTCAGATTTACCAGGTCTATGCACTACGGTCCGCAGAGGACATCTACAAGATCCTGACGTCGTACCAGGCCAGTCATGTGATCATCGAGGAGGCGGTCTGCAGCGAGCTGGGTCCACCCAAGGGCTGCAGGATAAAAGACCTGCTGGACATCTCCAATGGCCACGTGGGTCCTACCTAAATACCCACACCTTACCTAAATCCATCCATCCATCTTTCAGTCACTCACCCAGTGCAGGGTTGTGGTTCTGTGCCTAATTTCTAACCTTGCTCTTGCCCCTTTGTTTCAGTTAGTATCAAAAGTTTTCATGCATGATAGTAATTTATAAAGCGTAATTTTCCTTTAAGTGTAGCGCTTGACCTAATGAGGAAGTAACCCCATTACATCAGAAACAGTTTTTCTCCTTTTTTTATTTCTTAGAAAAAGCACCCCTTCCAGGTCTGAACCTTGTATTGGCTGATTGAGGAAAAGGAGGAATATCTCTGTACTGTCTGTTTATAATCTATGAGTTTTGTTAAAAATGCATGAAAATCACGATTGGGACATGCGGAGTCACAGAGTAATGTTAGCGTGGATGGTTACGCCTCATAAGGGCTACAATGGAAAGCAGTCTCTTTGCGGTATGACTTGGGTACGGCTCTCCTGGTCTCTTCTGTGGTCCTCATGTTCCTCATGTTCATGTTCATGGCTGGCCGCTAATGCCCCTCTCCCCCGCAGGTCGTTTATGAGAAAGGAGAGATGTATGCCTTCTCCAAGTACGCACGCTTCTGCCAGGAGATCAAGATGAACTACTCGCCCTACATCAACTACTTCACCAGGGTCTTCTGGAACCGCTCATACCACATCTACAAAGTGAACGCCGTGGTCTCCTTCCAGTACTGATGACAGGGACTGTCTGCCTTTCCATCTCTGTCTCTGTCTGTAGGTCTGTCTCTGGTTGTGTTCAGTCCCTCTAAAAAGCGCTGTAATGAAGCCACCTTGATGTTTCATTTACTGGGACAAACATCAGGGCAAATTGCATCTCTTAACTGGCCAAAGGAGCCAAATACCCAGGCTCTCGCGACCCAGGCTGCTGTTTTTGTTGTCGTTGTCGTTCGTATCCAGGTATTCGTCCTCTGCTCTGTACTGGGTTGAAGATAACTGGTGTTTACTGTCACTTTGGGGCGTGCGTGTGTGTGTATGTGCGTGCGCTGTGCAGCTCTGTCTGCTATGACCTGCGTGAGCCTACAGGACACGTCTTCTAGCTTTGCCCCTCCTTTGCCGAATGACCGCAGCTGCAGCTCCCAATACCAGCTTTTTGTACATAGGCAGTAATCTGTATCCAGCCTCTGCCGGTCTGATGACAGCCCTTAGCATCTATGGCCTCCAAACTCTATTTGATTCAGAGTGAATTATCCCAAGGCACTGACTGCGTAATCCTACCCCTGGGTTCCCAAAGAATGCCTAGTTATCTAGTTACCAGTATGAGGCACATAAAGTCGTAGGTATTATCAATGCCTTGTGTCCAGCCTAGAAATCCCAATGCTGTTATGGTTCCATCACTGCAGGCTGCTTGCCTGATGGTGCGGATTCGTTGGACGCACCTACAGCAAAGCCCATGAATCACTGCTGGGTTTTTCAGTTTTTCAGAGTGCCGTGAGGTCGCCGTGGAGCAGAGTGGAGAAATCCAGCAGCCATGTTTGACGTCTGTTCCGCATTCGCCTCCTCACAAATGGCGTAGGCGGAGGTGCTGACTGAGGTGGTGTCATGGATGAGTATTCTGGTCTCTTTTAGACCAGGAGGGGTCTGGCTCTGTTTAAGAGAAACATAGCATGTAAAATGGGGGCAGTAGGCTTACATGGTTCAATTCTTTTTTGCTTGTTTTTGTCCGTGTTTTAGATTTTTTTAACTGTCTTGTTATGTTACAAACCATGTGATGTATCTGATGTTTGCGCCAAAGATAACGTCCTTGTCTGAGGTTTCAAAAGCTGCTTTTTGAATATACTTTGAATTTGTGTAAATATTCTTATTTAAAACTCATCGTAGTTCATTTCTCTCTTGCAGTGGATTTTATTTAGGAAGGCAAGGTGTTAGGTACTCTATGCATTCATCAGACATGATGCAGGCCTAACGCTGGAAGGGCAGGCTGTTGCTTGACTGGGGGGGGGGGGTGACTGTGCCTGGACCCGGTCTGCAGGTCAGCCGGATGCAGGGCACCCCCCTGAGCCATCGGGGAGGACAGGGGAAGGTGCACAGGCAGTAGAATCCTTTGTGCACAGAGGCCATGTCTGGTGTTGCTGCTTTTCTGTTCCTGGTGTGTGTGTGTGTGTGTGTGTGTGTGTGTGTGTGTGTGTGTGTGTGTTTCTCTTTTATTCTGATGAAGGTGCTTGGTGGGAGGGGGGTCTGTGTCATGGGCTGAGTTGCGTCAGGCCTTACCTGGATATTAGTGAATCATTAGATGGACGTTAATTATCTGTTCAGCGTCATGAATGACACAGTTGCTGTCTGAAACGCCTCGCTTCTGCAAAATGTTCCTTGTGCCTTTTACTTTTTCTTGGGGGGGGGGGGGGGGTGCTCTAGCCACATTTCCATCCAGAACACGCTCTCCGTGTGTCCGGCTCTGTGTCTGACTCTGCATTCCACCCCCAAGGCACCATTTGTCGTAACAGAATGGGGCGGTGTTTGGCTCGGGGTGGGGGGCGGGCTGCTGTGCCTATGAGTGGAAGGTTGCTGGTTCAAATCCCGGGGTCTGCAGTGCAGGGATGCAGTAGAAGCATGGATTCCCTGGCAGTAAAATTATGAATTTTGTTGGGACCGGGTGACATTTTCTCAGGGGGCCCAGACTTGTCCCCCCTGCGGCAGAATGATTTCACTGTTGAGCCCCTGAGTGAGGCTCTTTATCCCCAAATGCTCCAGGGACTGACTGTCCCTGCGCTCTCAGTTGTATGTCACTTCTGATAAAAGCGTCTGCTAAATATGTAAATGTAGAATGGTTTTAGATGTCGGCAAGCTGCCCACTCGCTCTTAAGCCGTGTTCTGCAGACTGCAGCTCTCTTGGTGAATAGTAGACAATCTGGGATGTATTTAAAGAAAAGTCAATACTGCAGGTGATTCTTTACCGCTCTTTTTAAAAAAATCTTTCAAATTATAGTGACACTATCCCAGACTGTGTTTTAAGGGATATTAGGAATTGAAAGAAAGTCAAAATGGCCACTAGTTAAACTTATATGCTAAACAGCTCTTCATGTTACCCCAGCGTCTGTTTTACTTCTGACAAGATGGTCCTTTGTGTTCTTCTCTTGTGTTATAGTGTTACAGTAAAGTATGCTCACATATTAAAGGATATTTAATAAAAGTGACTTAACCTGGATCTGCTGGTAATAATAAGTGACAAATGTAAACATTTGGGTTACATTCTCTTTTCTAAATAACACTATGCTAAGTTATTCATCTAAATATTACAGAATCTCAAAATGTCTGATACTTAAACATAAGTAAATGCAAATCATAATTGGAGAATTATACTGTGATATTTAATAAAGTGCTTTTATGGTATTTGATTGTATGTTATAAATTTGTACTTGTGTTGTACAATAACCAAATTTTGATTTATGTTATTTTTTAGTTTAATTAAAGGCCAATCTAATGAGATGCCTAATCTGTTGTGTTTTCAGGCAATATTTCTTGTGAAGGGTTCTACATAGAAATATAAAAGTTTTGTATAATATGTCTATTGTTTGTTTTTGCTGCCTTGCAGCCACAGGATAGGCTAATGACCCCTGATGCCCCTGGATTGGATAAGCGGTTACAAAAAATGGATGGATGGATAGGTGTTTGCTTTTGTTTTTTGTTTTTTTTTCCCCCAAATCTGCTTATCTGGTAAAGGGTTAGTTTGAGCCTGGAATCTACTGAGAGAGAACAAGGCAGTGGTCACTAAATTTCTGTAATTGCAAATAATAATGAACTCATATGCTAATAAACAGCACATGGTCTTACAAAATTGTTACATTTTCTTGTTGTATTTTTTTTCTCCGTATTCAGTGGAAGTCCTGAGTGTCATGATTCATGATTAAGTGATTTACCTCTATTATTATTGCATTATTATTATTGTTATTATTACTATTATTATTATTATTATTATTACTATTATTGCATTATTAATTCAATTATTCTCTATGCTACATTCATTTACAGCAGTGGTCATCAAGGTACACTATGGACATACACTGTACTGTTGTTAAATCCGTGGCCAGATAAATCGGTGGTGGAGGGTTTTTCCACACATCTCCAGTAGGTTATAACTTAATGTAATTTCACAGCGGGGAAAAAAATCACAAAACATGCTTGAATATTAAGCCCGTAAGGTATACAAATGGAGAAAATACTTAAAGAATGATAGTAGTCAAAAATCCTTTTTGCCATGCCTTTGCCTGACATTTCTAATACACAAACGCCACCCCCTTATGGTGAGTTATATATTGCATTTTCATTCAGACACTCATATAAACAATAAAACAGTAACAGAACTTATGCAAAAAAAAATATAAAGTTCATTAGCAAATTATACGCATACATTGTATCGAATTGGTAAATTTAACAGAATTCTTATTATTGTGTTCGGTATTCTATTTATATCATTAGTCCATATTATGGCCATGGATCCTTTTGCCTGTGATAGTGGGTACTGGGATTTTCCCGACCAGGCGGTGTTGAATGTAGTGTCATTTTAACTCCAAGACGCTAGATGGCGATATACATTAAGTGTGCGAACTGAGGTACAATTACAGAAGAAGATCAATGGCGGCCTACATACTGTGACCCGGAATTATCTTTTTCAATGGGTGAAATATTAATATACATAGTATACTTACAAGCCTTGTAGACATTATTTAAAAAACGGTATTGGTATTAATTTGATGTGCATAAATAATATTGATCTTCGTTGATAAAAGTAAGTGAGAAGACAGAAAAATGAGTGGCATTCTAATGGGTAAATACGGTATACCTGCTATCCTGTTAACAAAAACACAGCGGTTGGTATCGGTAATCAGTCTTTATAATCCCGTCCCCTAAAGGCAGCTTTTCTTTTGCTACAGCAGAAGCTGTGGCGGTGTTACCGGCTGCCAGTTTCTGCAGAAGCTTCCCCATTATCTGCCTTGCATCCTGCTCACTTTGCTTCCTTTACTTACGCCCAGAGATGAGCGCCGAAGCGGCGGACCGTGAGGCGGCCACCGGCAGCCGGCCCTGCACTCCGCCGCAGACATCCTGGTTCGAGTTTCTGCTGGACGAAACTCTGCTGGAACATCATCTGCAGGGCAGCTCCCCGGGTAAGCTCGATTCCTTTGTTTCTTAATCAGTTATTTAGTAGTAAAAAAAAAAATAAATATATATAAAGATATTCGTCAGTGTCCTATAACCTTAAAAATTATATGTGGTGTGTCTGTGGGGATGAGAAATGACATTTCATGGTGGTAATGTGGGGCATGGTACACAAATGTTTTTGTTCGCGTATACAAAGAGATGACAATAAAGAATTTTGAATTGACCCCTGTGATGATCCTCAGATCCGTCACCAGTGCAGCTTGTGATCCAGTTCTTGGAGCAAGCTTCCAAGCCCTCTGTGAATGAGCAAAACCAGGTGCAGCCCCCAGCAGACAACCGCAGGAACCGAACCCTGAAGCTGCTGGCCCTCAAGGTGTCAGCGCACCTGAAATGGGACCTGGATGTGCTGGAGAAAGGGTGTGTGATTCAGGCTGGGAGAGGCTGACTAGACCTCAGGCTTGCACAGTTAGGGTTGGGTTACTCTGAGCAGACACCAGAGCTTGTGGTTACATTTTTGCAAGCTGCAGACGGTGTGAACGGCATGTTGACGTGCGATGTCTGTCGCTTCCTGCAGCCTTTCCATCCCGGTGCTGAACATGCTCCTGAACGAGCTGCTGTGTGTCAGCAAGGTGCCCCCTGGCGTGAAACACGTCGACCTCGACCTGTCCGCTCTGCCCCCGACCACCACTATGGCTGTGCTCATCTACAACCGCTGGTAATGACCACACTGGGTGAGGAGGGTGTACAGAAACACATAGAACGATAAAGTTTTAAAGTCTAAAATCCGACAATGTCTTAGTGTTTTAAGTATGATTCTGATACACACCTGCCGACACGGCAATACAAGAGCTCTTTTTACCTTAATATTTTCATATGATAAATTTTATATATAATTTTTTTAATTAGTAAATACAAATGGAAAAAAGCCACAAAATCTTTAATTGGGCTACCAGACATATACATATCGTACTGTTCCACCTTGTACATCTTGTTTTTGAGACATTTACAGTTACAGTTCCGTTTGAATATATCTACCAAGCGATGGTACACAATTTGGGAATCTCCCACTGGCAACAGCGTCACTTATACATCATTGCGACATCAGCCGCTCGTGTATCACACGCTGCAGCGAGTGTGCAAAACAGCCCAAGCTAGTGACTCCCAAACCATCCACTGCTTTTTTCATGTTACTCGCGGAAATTGCTTTTAAATTTGTTTTTGGGAAAAATTTGTATTCATCATTGATCATGCTATAGCAAAACTAAAAAAACAAAACCGACATCGAACCAATAACCTCTAACTGCTGAGCACAAACTGTTTAGCAAAACAAAAACTGGATGTTTGTGTTAAATGTGAACAAATCAACTTACTTTCTGATAATCCTGAGCATCATTCCCAACTTGTTCAAATGGCCTCCTCTCGTTTGTAAATTTCTTATGTTCTTATGTATCTGATTTTCTTTCATATCCCTCATACTTTTCTGTCATTATGTTTATGAAATAGATCTTAAATTGCATTCATAATGGTCTTAAAAAGTTTTTAATTTTTAACGAGATGAAACCTGCAGAAAGTCCGTGATTCAGTCGTTTGGTCGTAGCATCCAGCAGGACTTCTCATGGAACCGCTTTCCTGCTGTATCCTTCAGGGCCATCCGGACCATCGTCCTCAGCAGCTTCCCAGAGAAGCAGACCAAGCCCGGGCCGCACCAGCTCAACATGTCAGTGTCCCTGCCTTACTCTCAGGCAGTAGGTCGCATGGTGCTGGAAGACCTGGGTTTGTAACCTGAAGGTCACTAGTTTGAATCCCCCCAACCTCTCTTCATAGTATCCATCCTGTTTTTATCATATTAATAAGTCCCAAGTTAATGTCATTTCCTACACTGTCAGACAAGAGGTTACAGACCTGGAACAGTTGGGACAGCGTGTGGCTCAGTGGGCTAAGTCTGTGTGCCTATAATCACAAGGTCACAGGTTCAAACCCAGCCTCAGCACATCTGCAGCTCCTTGAGCAAGGCCCTTAACCCCCAGCTCCCTGGGCGCCACTACAGGTGGCTGCCCTTCACAGACATCTTACTCCACAAAGAACAAGTTGAGGGAGGCGTAAAGACAATTTCCCCAAGAGGATCAATAAAGTAACGATTATTATTATTATTATTATTTTATTATTATTATTATCAGGTATAAGCAGCATTAATGTGCCCCCATGGGTACAAAAATGTTCCTCCATTTCTCTGTTACAGTCCATTTCTGTATCTTAAAGGGTACATTTACATACAGCTATAGGGTACAATTGGCAGATCCTTAAGGGTACAGCCCCAGTGACAAGTAATTGTACTGTCAAAGGTACATATTGGTGCTTTTTTACAGTGCAGCAGCCTTATAGACTAAGCATTCTGTCTGGGAAATTTTCACGTGTGTGGATTTTCTGAACTGCTTTGGCTTGATGCCTCATTAAAATATCGAGATGACAGGAATGCAGAATGACCATGCTCGCCTTTCCTCTGGGCCGACTGGGTTTCTTCCCACGGTCCAAACGTGGTTTATGTAGACTGGTGTCCTTAAATGGGTACAAATGTTCCCAAGATACTCTTTTGATAACCGATAAGGCACATGAATGAAAAGAATTTATTTTAATGGAATGCCTTTATTGTTGTTGTTCAGGTAGATGGTACAACAAAAATCATGCTTTGCATATCCCACCTTCCATATGTGACACACACACGAGAGGGAAGTTTGGGGTCAGAGTGCACAGTGATTTGTACCCCTGGTGCAGTTTTAGCGGTTAAGGGCCTATCCACCATATTCACAGGGTGCCTGACTGTCCCGTTTTGCTGAATCATAAGCAGCTGCTTATTGTCATTGCCTGAAGGTTGAGCCTTGTGCAGCAGGAGAAAGAAATGACAGACAACATTTTGAAAGTGGTAAGTTGCGTGTCCCTCTGAGACACGCTGAGCTTGGAGGTGCTTTGTGGCCCACGGAGGGAGGTAATGGTGATAATGATGCGCACGCCCACCTCCGGCAGCTGAGGGAGCAGTTGGACGACTCCATCACGGTGCTGGAGGGAGCTCTGGGGATCAGGAGGGACTTCTACGTGCACACCATGCGGACACTGGACCTCCTGGCCGCCGAGCCCTGCGCGGCCAATGGCGAGACGGAGAGCTCCACCGCTGGGCTTCGGGTCAGCGCCGACGAGCTGCACTGCCAGGTGAGCGTCCACGGGACTTGTGATTGGCCGGCGCTGCAGTGGCTGTTAGCAGTTAATCCGTCAGGAAAATAGGCATTACAGTCTGAAGAATAGATCTATTACTTTTTACATATGCAGGTACATGTATGATATTGTGTCAGCGTTGGTTAATCTTCTGGTATTGTTTTCAGTGATGGGAGCAACACACTTTGCAGTAGAGATCTGCAGTGGCTGAGATTAGCATGAACGATCATGCACTGCATGGTTTAACCCAAACCTATACCTCATCCTCATAGCTGGGTTTGGGTTACATCTGCCAGAGAGTCTTAGTGTTTGCTGCACTCACCCTGGGTTCTGAGGTCCTGTCTCTCTCCTCACTAAATGCTTGTCAGCAGGGGGTGTTTTTATACCAAAATGCTCACCCTGTCTTTCTAAAAGTGCAAAGTACTTTATATTCAGTCATACAGACAGAGGTAGGGCTGCGCAATTCATTGA